TGTTGCTTCTATCTCTTATGTGTTGTAATTTGTTTTTGATTATATAACGCAAATATAATATTTAATACCACTTGCGAAAATGCTGCTGCAGTAACATTGTACCTGCTTGGTGTAGTTTATATAGATCAGTGGAGGTTTCATATGTAGCTTTGTGTCAGTGTGACAACTATGATCCAGCATACTTTGGTGGAGGAACTAAACTCACAGTAATAGGTGAGAAATTTTTGATTCAGTTTTTATAATGTGTGATACTGAAGGGTTACATTTTAATTCAGGTGATTTCTGATGTTTCATGTAAGATCTTAAGAAGATCTGAATAGATGTCTTCTTAAAAGCCAGCTAAAATCCACAATAATCCATAATAATAATGGTCTCTTGAAAGATTTGATATGAGACATGATAGACACCATGAACAAAAATCATAAGGCATAGGATTAAAGATAGAGTTGTGTGGGTTATGGCACATGCTGGCTGGGTAATTTCATTAGTGAACTTGCATGCTGTGCCTCTGGTGGATATCAGGCTTACTTCGGTGGAGGAACAAAATTAACAGTCCTTGGTAAGAAATGCTTCATTCCTAATTATCAGCAGTCAGCTGTTTAATAGCAGAGGCAAATTGCTTTGGTAATGTGGAATAGTTATTTAATATACATATAGCTTGTGCAACAAATGAACTGAGATTGTTTACTCAAAATGCTGCCTTGCAATACATTCTGGGCTGATTTTAGTGTAACTTGCAGAATGATGGCTCCAGTGTTCATAGACACCATCTTGATGTTTCTTAAGCCAGTTTACATGTTCAGTACTGTCTAATAGACTGAATGGTGGCAGATCCAGTCTTGCTTCTTTTCTCACTGAAGTGATACAAGCAAGAAATTATTCTACACATTCATACCTTAAATGCCCTTCAAAATGTTTACTTGGAGCTCTTGATTGTTTGCTGACTATATCTAACACATTAGGTAGTGAGTGCAGGTTTTCTCTGTAGCACAATATTAGTGTGAGCAGCTATGGCTCTGCTTACTTTGGCAGTGGCACCAAACTCATTGTGACAGGTGAGAAATGTATTATTCTTAAAATAAAATATAAATAATGTATTTCAGCATTAGCCCTTTATATAACTATCTTTGTTTTCAATTGTACACAGTTGTTTTGAAAGAATGATGGTGATTTTATATATTTCTTGAAGTGAAATGGGGGAACTATATAATTACATTGTTCAGTACTACATAATCCGGTCACTTCCCAAAATTCTATAGTGTAGGAACACTGGATAATGGAGGGATTATGTGTAATATTAAAATCGATAGCATGTTGTGATTAGATGGGTGTAATTATGTTGAGTCCCTGCACTCTGTGCTACAATGATAAAGCTGTGTTTGGTCCTGGCACTCGACTCACAGTCTTAGGTAAGAGTTTAATCGTCCGTTACAGAATGAGGATTAGAAACATTTGTTTTTTTTCTTTTTTTTTTTTCAAATCAAATTATCCTAATTGCATCTGTATGACAGCTCCTTAATGCTTAGAGGAATAATGTTACTCATTCACTAGCAAAGATATGAAGGTTTTAGAAGTCAGTGTTTATTAAAAAATGGTGATCAAGCAAAGCATTTAGAGCCTCAGAATTTTGTAAAGTGAAATCACAATGTAGATCTATAGAGTATAGTGTGGTAGAATATGTTCAGCCATAAGTGCACTCCTAAAAAAGATGGTTCTTTAGTGGTTCTTTAGTAAAGAAAATGGTTCTCTATAGAACTATGAACATTCAAAGAAGCATCTGGATGCTTTAAAGGGTTCTTTGCATGGTGAGAGCATTCTTCAAATTGATGGAGAATGTGCTGTAGATGGTTCTATGTAGAACCTTTTTTAAAAGGGATCTATATAGCACCCAAAAGAGTCCTTCTAATAGTACGAGGTCAAGCTTGGAACAATACCAGAACCTTTTTGGGTGCTATATAGAATGCTTTTCAAAAAGGTGCTATATAGAACCATCTACAACACATTCCACATCAATCTGAAGAACGCTTTTCACCATGCAAAGAACCCATTAATCGAGGTAAAGGGTTCTTTGAATGTTCATGGTTCTATATGGAACCATTTTCTTTACCAAAAAACCCCTGAAGAACCATCTTTTTGAAGAGAGCAGAGTAGGGTGTTTTACTGTTGCTGCGGCACTGTGTGAACACTCAACCTGCATACTTTGGCCAGGGGACCAAACTCACTGTTCTCGGTAAGACTCAGATTATCAAGTTTGAATTGTAGGCATTATAACTGCTTTTAGCCACTATTTTGCTCAAACAAGAACATTGATTTATCTTGCACTAGTTTGCAATACATTTAGTAAAAATACAGTATTAAAATATTAGGCTGCCATATGCTTAGCCTATACAATAAAATGTCATGTAGAGTTGTGCTGTAGGGTTGTTTCTCAATACAGAGAAACATGGTTCATGTTATGGTGCTACATAGAATTTATTCATATTTGTTTTTACATTGTACATTCAAAATAGCTGCTAAGTGAGCTTTATGATATAGAGTATGTGCATATATAGAGGCTGCAAATGTATTAGAGGATCAGTTGAGACGGTTTGTAAGTTGGTGTAAACATTTATAAGATCATTACTGTTTCTTGGAAGCTGCTTGTGGTTTTCCTGCAAAGGAAGCAGTTGAGCTCAGCATGCAAGTATATTATCAGATAGATGGTTACAGAATGAATATAATGAGACATTATGTGCACAGCAAAACTAACTGTCATTGGAAAATAAGCATTGACATGGCAATAATTGTGTAATTTATACTGTAACTTTCTATCAGCATCTACAGTAGTGTCCAAAAATCTGAGACCACTAGTGAAATGCTTCTGTTTTGCATTTTTTCCCTAATTCATTTCATTTAATTTCAGAATTTTTAGTATTTGTTATGTCCACCTTTTGTTTTAATGACAGCATGCACTTGCGCTGGACTCCACAAGTTTGTGCAAAGGGCTCTAACTGAACACAAGCTTCAGTGCAACAGAAATCCAACCTTTTTGTACAAAAGCCTTAACATGGGCACTGTCAGCAATTTGTGTAGTATGGTCTCAGATTTTTGGAACCTGTACATTCTCAAACTATTTACTAATCTCTTATAAGTAATCACCAAAGAAATAATGAGTCTGGTGACAAGTTTGTTTAAGTCTCAAGATATTAATATGGGTTCATTTGGTGAAGTATCCTCTAGTAAATGAGTAAAACACTTGATACTCTACATGTAAAAAAAACATCTATCATGAATAGATGTTTTTGTACATGTAGAATAACCTCCAGTGGTTGTTATACTGATATTGCATACATGAAAATATCAGTCACATACTTACTGCACTTATTTCTAAGATAATCACCAGGGCAAAAATCCAGGTGTTAATCGATCCCTAAAATGTATTTTATGGACTGTTTTGTTCAAAGAGTTTCAACCATCTTTCAGTCTAAGGCCATTTGATGTTATTTTGGTTTCATAATAGCATATTAGTACTCTCTAACAGTGAGCCTTCATGACTGAGAGCACCTTAAGTACACTGACACAGTCTTTCTCTTAGGGTAACTGACTCATTTAGTGACACTCTACATCAGGGTTTTTCACCTCTTGTCTTAGATATTCAAAAGAAACACCATCACTGCTTGTTTAACTATTTTAGAATCAGCGCACAACATAACGAACATACTTGTTTGATGCACTCTAAAGAGCAACTTAATCAACAGCTTCTTTACAGACACTGAAGTTCCTCCTAAAGCCTGAGTAGACTGATAAATCAATGTGATGATCCAGTTATTAATCTCAGTGTTATTGAACTCTGCTAAAGAAATGATCAAACTCGCAATCTCCTCAGTAGTGGACATGTTTGCAAGTGATAAGTTTAGCATCAGTGTTGTACTGGACCTCTGTTTGGGGGATTGCGGGAGCAACAGTGGACTCAGACAGGTGATGAGAGAAAAAAAAAAAACATTGCAATGAGGAAAAGTGTAACATGGATGTAGGCAAGCAGTGTGTGACTTTTTGGTTTGGTTTTGACGAGGTAAGCTGAACAGTACCATAAAGTTAAAATTCCAAACTTTAAAAGTGATTTTAAAAGAGCAAAGAATAATTTTATTTGGGAATATTTTGAGAAAAATGTGTTTTACTGGCTTCTTTTGGATCAGAAGGCACCAATAAATAAACATGGACCACCATCAACTAATGTTTATTAAAAGATGAAGAAAAATGTAGATTTTGATAGCATTTTAAAATAACAGACCTATCCTACTTTCCCAATGCTTCTGCTCAAATAGACAATATGAAAGAAAGAAAGAAAGAAAGAAAGAAAGAAAGAAAGAAGAAAAAGAAAGGAAGAAAGAAAGAACAAATGAAAGGTGATATTCAGTATCTTTGCCTCATGTTCAGGTTTTTATTCTTTCCAAAGAGCTCGAATACACAGCCAAAATAGCAAATGCCAACACTGTGCCATTACTTGTGGAGGGAACTGTGCAGTCAGAAACCAGTCAGTAATGTGTTGTACTGTATTCAATAACACAGGAGTGTATTATAAGATAGATTATCCTTTCTTAGAGAAATACTCAGTGCTACAGCAGCAATATTAAATACTAAAATCAAAACTTACAGCTACGAATATTTTCTATCTAATATTTTCTTTCCTTTTCAGATCCTAACGTTATCAACTCAAGACCCAAAGTCGAAATACTAAAGCCTACTGTAAAAGAACAGTGTAGGAAGAAAAGGGTCACCCTGGTGTGTGTGGCTCAAAGAATTTTACCCTGACCATGTGACGGTGTCCTGGAAAATTAGTGGACTAAAGACCGAACCGATGGAGTCGCAACAGACAGCGCTGCCACCCAAAATGCACACAACAGACATACAGCATCACCAGCAGATTGAGCATCTCTTACAAAGAGTGGATCAAGGGGGCAGGCATCGAGTGTATCGTCACCTACACAAAGCCTATCAGTGAAAAAAACACACTGAGGAATATCACACATATCATATAACAGGGCCAAAACGTATGAGTCATAGCTGTTATTCTTTATTATTATCATCATCATTGTATGTTGTTAGTTGTGTATTTGATTATTGTTGTGTGTTGTGTGTTGTTGTGTGTTGTTTGTTGTTGTTTTCTTTAGCTAACACAAAATTTTAAATTGTGTAATTTTCTGTGTCTTTCTTAAGGTGTAGACAGTGAGGAACAAGCAGGTAAGATCTATCAGTGGAACCACACCACACTGTGTACCAGAGGTCCTGCTATATGAATCAATTTATCAAATTCCAAACTGTCAAATGCATCCCAAGAGTTTGTACTGTCTGGAGTATGATGCAATTAATATTCCTCTTTTTCTTTTGTTAGAAAAATATGAACCCAGAGGAAAAACCATGATGCTAGCCTATGGAGCATTCATCATCAAAAGTTTCCTGTATGGCCTTTTCATCCTGGTGTTCATCAGAAGACAGGTAAATGTGAATGGAACATGCTTGTTGTCTGTAATTCCATTACAATGTAATAGAATTATAGATATATATGCAACATAACATAATGTTACATTGCATACTATCTATTTGAGTATATCTGCAATGGAAAGTAATCATTTTAAATGTTCACTTGTGCATAAGTGTGCATTTGCTAAATGAACGAACAAATGCAAAACAAGATAATGTATAAGGTCTGCTTTGTGCTTCACAGCGTTTCACCTCAAAATAAAGGAGATCAGAGCCATGTGATCCTGAGTGAGAGCTGACATTTTGTCACGTGACAGAAGAGGATCCATGAAGGGCACCATTTTAAGATGAGCTTTGTGTATAAATGCATGATTATTGTATACTGTATACTGTGTTTTGCCATCACTAGTGTACTTCGCAATTCTGCCCTTCTTTGTGTTACACTGTGTACTCATTTGATTTATCAGTAGCTTTGTTAGCCAAATGTAAGTCCTATTTGTAGAATAATAATAGCACATACATTGTCACTGTTGGAGCAAAATGTTGTGTCTCCAAAATGATAACTTTTCAAAATAAGGAAAAAAATATGTACATTTAGTACAAAAGAGTGGCAAAAGAGATTCTTTCAGGTGATGCACTTCTAGAAAATGTTTCAATGGTCAAATCTTCAGAGAACTTCAGAGGATTTTTGTGATAAATGTGAAGAAACCTTTTCAAAGATTAAATAATCTCCCCATAATGTGAAGGTTCTAGGCAGAACCTTTGAGTGAAATAGGATCTTTGCATTATGGTTCAGGTATTGCCATATCTGTTCTTCAAACCTGGTTCTTTAGGGAACCAAACATGTTTTTTCTACTACCTTAAAGAGACATTGTGGCACATTTATTATTGAGAGTATAAGTAAATGCAAAAGGATTTTATTTCAAATTGTTGGACTCATATTGGCCCATTTGTCATAGAATATTTACACAATGTACATGCCAGCTAACATTTTAAATTAAATGGCAAAAAAAACCCACCTTTAAATAGGGAGCTGTTCCTACAGCGGCAAAATGTACAATCATTTATTTTTTTTAATTCTTCTTTTAGCGCGATAAGCATTGTTAAAGCTTGTGAAATCTTGTTGTTTTCTTGTTTTGTTTTGTTTTTACATTAAAAATGAATTAATTAAATCAAATTATACATGTGTTTATGTGTGGATGTTTAAAAAGTTTATGCCAGTATTTATGTGCCACTGCCCCGTTTACTCAAATGCAACAGCAAGAATGACAGACAAACAGCAGCATCTAGGCACAGACCGCTGCCACTGTGAATATGTATGTGATTTCTATTGGAGAATTTCACAGAATGTGAAATACAAGCCTGAAGATTTGTCAATACAAATATTTGGCTCAGTCTCAGCAGATTCTGCCTGTTCTAAAGTTCTGAAGCCTCCTGGAGGGCCCCTCTGTGCGGAAGCTGTTAATGGGGAAGCTGCTTCTTTCCCAAACTTAAATATCTGAGGGGCCCCTATGGCTGTGGTGCTGATAGGCATCAATAGCTTTACGCTGTTTCAGTTTATGTCAGGCTTTGAGTCATTGTGCTAGCTTCTCTGAACTGAAATTCGGCCCAGGGACCAGGCTAACAGTTCTAGGTGAGTAGGGTGTTTAAAACTTCACAGTGTTGAGATTGTGTGTCATTCACTGTAGCGCTTTCTTTCCTCATCCTGTAAGTATTTTCCCAAACAGTTTTTATTGTATGATGCTGGGTCATTTCTTGCCACACAATTCAAGCTATTCATGGTGCATAGAATTTATTTGAGAAAAGTTAGAGTACAAATATATACATACATATGTTGACTTCATTTTACCCCAGCCTGCATTGGCAGCATTCAGACACTTGAATTCAAAGTTCCACACATCAAAGTCTAGCTTAGCAATGCCTTTGCAACTGAGTTTCACAAAATACATTTTCACATGTCATTATAATTTTCATTAATGTTAATTTCGGAGTTACTTATGAGGGGGCCCCATGTGCCAAAGCTGCTGAAAGCTCTTATGTCACTGAAATAAGAGACCCTAAAAAGGATTATTGTTGTTATCAGTATGTTGCTTGGTTTCTGTCGTGAGTTAAATCATTGTGTACTAGCTATTCAAAAGCGGAATTTGGAAATGGGACCAAACTAACAGTTCTCGGTAAGTAAATAATAGTTTATTGGAAGTTGTTCATTGACAATTCCAAGTGCACTTGCATAAAAGTATAATACACATGACAAATAGACTGTAGCCTCTAACATATGAAATTGTAACTCATATATATCGCTGCTGCCGGAACAAAACCTCGCATCTCCATTTTTGATGTTTTTCAGTTCTTGACATAATTTGAAAATGCCTGTCGCCCTTTACATGGTGTGTAAATTTGAAGATGAAATGGCCCAAAACATACCTGGAAAAAGGTCTGGTTCCATTGACTTATATTAAATATATAGTTTGTTTTTTCCTTCTCCTGTAAAGTTATCATTTTGGAGATACAAGATTTTGTTTCCGACAGCAACGATGTATTAGTGTCAAGCTTTTCCTGCTTGCTAATTCCCCATATACATGAACCCACTGCTAATTCTTCACTTTTATAATTTTATAAAATCTCAGTTATTTGACATTGTTTTGCATGCAGTAACTTAATAAGCCTTATGATGTAAACATACAACCGATAGAAAATCAATTATATTTTTGATTACTTAAAGAAATAATTTGTGAAGGTAGCTGTAGTGCTTAGACTTTAATGTTTCTCTATTCATTTTCCACAAGTGCAGGAAAAACCATTAGGTCCTAAAATAGTAACGGGATTATAAACTGTTATAAGTCTATGTACTGGACAGACATTTCCATTTGTAAGGTCATATAAAATTAAACACTTGTTTACAATTTTCAAACTTGGTAACTCTTTAATTTTTCCATTAATGATAATAAATACAAACAGAAGCTTTCTATTCAGAAAAAATCATTGCCTGGGGATTATATCCTGATAAATATCACATAAGGAGAACTCATACAGACCACAAAAAACACATAGTTCATACAAGGAGGTACTTAAAAATGTCCAGATTTGATTAATGTTTTATGAATGCTAGCATGAATGTTTAGAAGACAATGCATGATTTTATTCACTTCATGTAGCTTACATTTCTGTCAATTACATCTGATGTAATCACCCAGCGCTTCCAGCATGCAGCAATAAATAATCTGTTCAAGGTAATGAATACTGTTCTGTGCTTTCAAATAGAACCTCATATAATGTCACTTTTCAGATATGCTGCCAATGCAGTCTTTTACACTACCATTCAAAAGTTTGGAATCAATGTTTTAAATAAGATAAATCTCATCTGGTTGCAGATAAATACATTTAATTAATCTGATTAGGGGTGATTGAGATGCATCCAGAATGATGAACAAAATGGCAGAATATTCTGGAATAACTGAGAAAGCTATTAAGCACTGAGCATGAAGTTACAATAAAACTATAATGCAGAATGCCTTATGTTCAGAATATTTTAAAAGTGGTATTAAATCTTAAGGCAGCTAACTTGCCAGAAAAAATATTTTTAACAGATGATGACATTATCCCATTTATCATTTTAGAATTTCTATTTGTTGTATAAAATATTATATAAAGAAAAATAGAACATCTAAAAATACCTTTTGGTGTGTGTTTTAAAATATTAAAATCTGCATTGTGTGAGTTGTTATTATTGTATATATAATAATAATAATAATAATAATAATAATAATAAAATAGGAACTTTTATTTCATCTTTCCAAAATTGATTATTTTTCATTGTTCTTTTGTCTTGAGATCCCAACAAAACCATCAGCACACCCACTGTGACCCTGCTGCCACCTTCTCCAAAAGAGCTCTGCAATGACCCAAAGAAAGTGACGTTGGTTTGCCTAGCTGATGATTTCTATCCTGACCATATTACGATTAACTGGCAGAAGAATGGGATTAACATAAACCATGGAGTTGCAACTGACCACACTGCCCTACAAGATCCACAAACAAAGTTTTACAATATCTCTAGTAGACTAAGTGTTGCTAAAACCGATTGGGAAGACCTCAAGAACAACTTCACCTGCACTGTTGGTTTCTATGATGGGAAGAAGTACAATTTTCATCAATATACCCTAAAGAAACCAAAAGGTACAATGTGCACAAACACACCACATGACATCTAGGATGAGGCTTCTCTGCTCCAGCCTGGCTGCCTACTGCTTTGGGCAGTTTGGAGATGAGAACCCATGACCGAAATGCATAATCTCCTGATATAGATGCCAAATAGACAATGCAAATATCTATACTGTCATATCTATATAACATCTATTCGAGTGTTATTGTAACGTTCTCTTTTTTCTTTTCCTTTCAGCTGGTGTACGAGGTGAGCTCAAATTTTGGATTTTCTAAAAACACTGATGCATCATGTTTCCCACAGACCAGGATATATATACACCAATCAGGCGTAACATTATGACCACCTCCTTGTTTCTACACTCAGTGTCCATTTTATCAGCTCCACTTACTGTATAGGTGCACTTTGTAGTTCTACAATTACAGACTGTAGTCCATCTGTTTCTCTGCATACTTTGTTAGCCCCCTTTTACCGTGTTCTTCAGTGCTCAGGACCCCCAAGGACCCTCACAGAGCAGGTACTATTTGGGTGGTGGATCATTCTCAGCACTGCAGTAACACTGATATGGTGGTGGTGGTGTGTTAGTGTGTGTTGTGCTGGTACGAGTGGATTAGACACAGCAGTGCTGCTGGAGTTTTTATACACTGTGTCCACTCACTGTCCACTCTATTAGACACTCCTACATTGTCAGTCCACCTTGTAGATGTGAAGTCAGAGATGACAGCTCATCTGCTGCTGCACAGTTTGTGTTGGTCATCCTCTAGTCTTTCATCAGGGGTCACAGGACACAGCCCACAGGATGCTGTTGGCTGGATATTTTTGGTTGGTGGACTATTCTTAGTCCAGCAGTGACATTGAGGTGTTTAAAAACTCCAGCAGCACTGCTGTGTCTGATCCACTCTGACCAGCACAACACACACTAACACACCACCACCACCACATCAGTGTTACTGCAGTGCTGAGAATGATTCACCACCCGCATAGTACCTGCTCTGTGAGGGTCCAACAAGGCAACAGGGTAAAAGGGGGCTAACATATATACAGAAAGAGAGAGAGACAGAGAGAGAGAGATTAGTTTTTATTGTGAATAGAAATGAGAGGCACAGACTAGTTGTAGCAGTTACTAAATCAGCTTTTTATCACCTTAAGAACATCAACAAGATCAGAGATTTTCTGACTAAAGCAGACCTGAAGAAACTCATCCACACCTTTAATTCTTGCAGGATGATTGTAATGGTCTCCTCAGTGAACTCCCAAAAAGACAATCAAACAGCTTCAGATGATTTAAAATGAAGCTGCCAGAGTCTCACTAGGACTGAAATAAGGGAACACATCCCCCTATTCTAAAACACTTACACTGGCTGCCAGTCTGTTACAGAACAGACTTTAAGATACTATTACTGGTCTATAAATCGCTCAGAGATCGTCGGTTAGTCCTGACGAAGGTGAAGGCTAGACATGGAGAAGCAGCATTTAGCTACTATGCTGCTCTTAAATGGAACCAGTTGACAGAGCATTAGAAAAGCCCCGACACTAGACACCTTTATATCCAGGCTGAAAACATTCCTATTTGAGCAGCTTTCAGCGCAGTTTATAACACTGTTAGTGCTTCTAGCCCCACTCCTCCGTGATGGCACTTTTTTTAACCTAATTTAGCTTTTAATTTTTAATTATTCTAACTTAATTTGTAATTAGATTTTTAACCTAATGACTTTCTCTTTTAAATGTATTGTTTTAAATTTCTGTTCTCCTTTACATGTACTCCTTTTTAAATGACTTTGTATTTACTCATTTGTAAACTTGCCTTGCCTGAAATATAACTGTTTTGATTTTAGTGACCATGCTGTCCACAGTCCGCTTTGGCTACTTCTTGTTCCTGAGCAAGAGTCTGGTGTACGCTCTGTTTGTTGCCATGTTGGTGTGGAAATGCAAGGTAAATACTGCAACACATGAAGCTACAAGTATAATGTTGCTGGTTCATGACCATGTTCTTCATACTGCACAGAAGAGAATTAAGCACATTTATTAATTTTTACAATTTTTACCTGTAAAAATTCATAGAGATCATGAGACCAGCCAGATAAATGTAACACATTTTCTTTCTTGTACTTAATGAATGTCTTTCCCTGCAGCCTATAAAAGAGAAGTCACTGCTGAGAGAGACCTGAGGTGATTTGAGGAAACGTGAGGAACAGCCGCAAAATAAGACAATTTTATTGTTTCCTGACTAATCTGCATTCTATTATGCTTTAATGGATATTAGCTAAGCAAGTAAGCATGTTTTCTGCCTAAATAATTTAGTTTTTTTTAAACTAAGAGTAAAAATTCTCACATTTTTTAAAAATTTTGTTTATTGTATTTTTACATTTATATTAATACACTCGAAAGACTCTGTTGTATATCATTGCTTGCTGCATTATTTTCATGACCTATAAAATCATCCAAAACTTTTTGTTGTTGTAACTTGCTCTGTTTGTGTCCTTGTTATCACAGCATAGCACTGTCTTTTAAAACAAAAACATTGCACTCATATGGTACTTTGTAACTGTGTAATGCTACTGTTTTTACTGCAGAATGAGTTCAGTGACGTAAATGACTGAAAATCTTCACAAACATTGAATGCTGCAGTGGAAAGTCTTCAGATTTGAAACTGTGTGGGTATTCATATGTCACATCTGAATTTTCCACTTTTACTAGAAAAACAACGATGTTCTATGACTAGTTTTGCAATATATGGTAAATGACTAATGGAAACTTAAAATCAGGCCTTAAAATCCCAGCTATTGCAAAATGCACTATTAAAAACCTGAAAAATTATTACTTCAGTTTCAGAGCACTGGCTTGTGTGACAGTATATTCTACTGACATGTTAATATAAAAAGTCATTTTGATCACAAGTAATAAATGACACAGCAACACATGTAATTGTTTAGTTATTATGCAATCTCATTTGTTCTGTTGTTCAAAAGATTATCAGGGACAATAGAGTGAGAATGTGTCAGTGAGGGCAGAAGGCAGGATGTGGTGGCTGCTTGCTGTGGGGGTTTAGAGGCAGACGGGGCAGGATGTGGTGAGAACGTTCTCAAAATTAAGCTTTCCCTCCACCCAGTCTCTCACCGCAGAGCTCGTTCATATGCACACCTGCTGCTGCTCTCAAAGCCTCAGAGCTCACATCGCCCTGCAAACTTCTAACAAGAAAAAAACCTGCAGCACGGAAACTAGTGCAGAGCATACTCATCTGTGGAATGTGTTTACAGCTTTGCAACAGTTTGCACTGTTTCTAGCACGATGGCTGTCGTACCTTTTTTCTGGCACCATATGCTCATTCAGCAGCATATTTACTCGAATGTTCTCGAATGTTTTTGCCTCATGGTTGATAAAGCAGCCTGATTTTTGATTCTATTACAAAACCACCATGAAGATAAACTGGAAAATATCTTAGAATAGAGGCAAATATGGTTGAATCTCTCAACCTGTAACTTCTGCCACAGGCATGGTTCTCTCAGCCAAGGTCATGTAGTCTCATGCAGCAATGAAAAATCCATTTAAAAAACAAATGCAGGAGAAGATCTCATAGATCACATGTGTAACTCTTTCAGTAAAGTGCATGTGCTCTAAGATCTACAGTGAAACGTGTTCTATAAGCAGCACATGAATTACAGTTGACCAACAAACCATCTTTTCTTTGTAAGCAGAGCCCCCAGTGGTGAAGTTCTAAAACTTTTCGAGCTTCTGGATTCTGGACTGAAGTGAACGTAATAGATTTTAATAAAGCAATTGCAATAAAGGACACTGTCAGATCTGCACCCTATGGTATCACATTGATTGATTGATTGATTGTTGGGTTGCTGTACAATACACTGTATACTATACACTGAAATATTAAATGAAATATTCAGTATATTTACTTTAAAACTCGAGACTTCAAGACACTATATTGTTACGTTGTTCTAAAGAAGAGGACATAATGACAGTTATAGCCACTATAATGAAATAGTTGCTTACATCTTTACATTTGGCATATGTTAGTCTGGTACTGTTGATTTAACTCTTTAATGCATGGTGTTGTCACATGGCAACATTTGTTTTTCATACCACAATTTAACCTTTTTTTCCTTTTCTTTGGAAAATTATTCATGAGTAAAATGGTTTACTTTTCCTGATCATATGCCTTCTTGTTCTAGTCTGTAGTTCTGTGATCATGCAGACATCACATAGTGAGGCCTACACACATAAAAACTCATTCTGTCTCTAACTAGACACATCAGTGTGTTCAGTTGAATACAACACATGTTGTGTTATGTTACTGTGCCCAGTTACGGAGAACACATTTTGTGTTACTTTTAACACAGAATATGTTAAATCAAAAAAAACAATGTGACACAAAAGGTGTTAAAACAGGTAACACAAGTAAATGTGTTGTTATTAAACACATCACTTTTTTAAGTGTATCTTCTGACGTTGTCTTAAAATGTATGTATAATTCAGTATTAATACATAACAACTTCAAGCAACTGCAATGCCTACAATGGGAGTAAATAAACACAATAAAACAGCAAAATGAAAAGTACCTCCCTTTTTATGGATTATGCTATTTTCTATTAGAAGAATGTAAATTTCATAATTTCTGCACTAAAGGCTTAATGAAGTGTAGGTAACATGTCTGTCTGTAAATCATACTTCAGTCTGACTACAACGTCATGTTCTAAAACACCTGATATAAAGGCAATTTATGAAAAAGCATATACTATTATCTGTGCTCTAAATGAGAAATTAATTTTTGGTGTTGTGTAATTTCTCCTGAATATTCCAGTGTGAGACTTCAGCCACATTTAGCATCTTCTTCATGCTTAGTAAAGCAAACACAGGATTTCAAAATCAGAGCTACTTTCAGTTAAGGTAAGGTGTTTTGAACAATCCACAATGCATCCAGAATGTGTGCTTGAGAAGAGGCCTAAGCTCTAACAGTCTGGTGTGGTTTTTGTACAGCTCACTGATTACTCTGGGACACTGTGTAGACTGGCTGCACAGTACCACACAGCAGAGTCATTCTCACTCACTCTATCAGACTCCAGATCTATTAGAAGCTCTCCAGGTCTGCTAGACTTAAACTGGTCTTTGCTCGGTGGGTTTACTGATCCAGTAGTCAGAGAGGTGAATACCAGTGTGTACCCTGCTGCTGGAGTCCACTGGTACCAGTACAGATATGGGTTAGCAATGCCAGTTATAGAGCAGGAGACCTTCAGAGATGATCCAGGAGAAAGAATCAGCCCCTCTGGATTCTGCTGGACCTGTATAACCTGCGCACCTACAATGATGGAAAATAATTAGTTTAAAGGTGCTGCAGAAACAGTTATCAACAGTACCATATTAATGATGTTATTAGCTTACACACGGTGGAGAACCACTGTAGTGTTAGAACAAAGAGAAATAAATACGAATGTGTCATTTTAAGAAGTATAAAATACAGTAGTGGCTTGTTGCTAAAATAGGCTCTTATGTGGCTAAGGGGCGGGTCCATGAAGCTCAGATGTCACTTAGTGACTCTGTACATGAGGTGAGTTGTGCTTTTAGTGTAAGATGTTGTCATTAATGTATTGCACTTTATACCAATGTTTTACTACAGTAAACATTCAACGTGAAATAATATGAGATAAATGATTTACTGTTTTTCCAAAAAATTAAAAATACCACTCTCATTACGGCAGGTGATCTATATCAACATATGCCCTATGCTTGTATGTTCATGTTGTTCTTTTTTTATTGTTTAAAAAAAAGAAATGAATTCTCAAAGAGTGTGCTACTATCCTACTGTCTTAAATCATACACGTCGACTTATCGGTGATCAACAAGGTCAATTATATGCAAACATATTTTTTTATCCCTGAGGTGGTGAAATAAATTTCAACAAACAATTCTGATTCCAAAAAAAGGAAGTATGTCAGCCTGATCTTGCACTTCATGTTCTTTTAAAGCAAGAAATGTACTTTTAAAACAAGAAAATCAAGCTCCACTCTTGCTAGAGAAGCAGAAAATGCAACCATCTACTAAAACTGAACTTTTTAAATGTGGAAAAATACCCGTGCAGATTCCTCTGAAAAGCTGAAAGCAAGTCTCCTGAAAATAATGCCAGCTGTAATAAAAGCAAGGGGTGGACACCCTAAATTTATATTATATTTAGTTGTTGATGCTTCTGAGATTTATGTTAAATGTTATCTTGCGCTTTACAATTAACAGTTACAGAGTTACAGAGTAACTCTAAATGTATCACTTTATGAAGTACAACATGAAATGGCAGTGGCTTAATGCTTAAATACACTCTTATTTGGCTGTGGGGTGGGTCCCTCAAACGTCATTGAGTGACTCTTTATATGTGGTAAGTTGTACATTTGGTACAATAAATTATCATTAACTTAAAGCACTGTAACAACGTTTTACTACAGTGAGCATTGAAAATGAAATATTATGCAATAAAACACTTAGAGTACTTCACTGTATAATATATATATATATATATATATATATATATATATATATATATATATAATATTTTATTTTCAGTGTATCTTCTGAATGTATCGTTTTAGAGTGTATCTTCTGATGTTGTCTTAAAATGTATGTATAATTCAGTATTTATACATAACTTCAAGCAACTGCAATGCCTACAATGGGAGTAAATAAACACAATAAAGCAACAAACTGAAAGGTACCTCCCTTTTTATGGATTATACTATTTTCAATTAGAAGAATGTAAATTTCATAATTTATGTACTAAAGGCTTAATGAAGTATAGGTAACATGTCTGTCTGGAAATATTTTTCTTTAATTTTCTAGGACCAAGTGATGAAATCACACATCAGTCTGACTGCAAAGTCGTATTCTAAAACATCTGTTATAAAGGCAATTTATGAAAAAGCATACACTATCAACTGTGTTCTAAATGAGAAGTTAATTTTTGGTGTTGTGTAATTTCTCCAGAATGTGTGTTTGAGAAGAGGCCTAAGCTCTAACAGTCTGGTGTGGTTTTTGTACAGCTCACTGATTACTCTGGGACACTGTGTAGACTGGCTGCACAGTACCACACAGAAGAGCCATTCTCACTCACTCTATCAGACTCCAGAACTATCTGAAGCTTTTCAGGTCTGCTAGACTTAAACTGGTCTTTGCTCGGTGGGTTTACTGAGCCAATAGCCACTGAGGTGAATACCAGTGTGAACCCTGCTGCTGGAGTCCACTGGTACCAGTACAGATATGGGTTAGCAGTGCCTGTTACAGAGCAGGAGACCTTCAGAGATGATACAGGAGAAACAATCAGCTCCTCTGGATTCTGCTGGACCTGTATAACTTGTGCATCTGCAATGATAAAAATAATTAGTTTAAAGGTGCTGCAGAAACAGTTATCAACAGTACCATATTAATGATGTTATTATCTTACACAGGGTGGAGAACCAT